AAAAACCTGTGAGAGTTGTGGCAGCAGGAGAAACTGCCAGTCTCACAGGAGAGTCTGTTGGAGGAGCCAATGGGGTCCTACAACATACACAAGCCAACCCACCCCAGAAATCAGCACCAGAAAGGTACAATTTGGATGTGGGTAGTGGAGGAAGTGACTGAAAGTATGTGAGAGCTAAGCAAACAGCATTGTTCCCTCTCAGACCCCTCCCCCACTACAGCCCACAATGCAGCAAAGTGGGTTTACCCACCCTAACAAATACCTAAGTCTCTGCCCCTTGCAACATAACAGGTGGACAAAGACAAAGAAATATGGCCCAAATGAAAGAACAGATCAAACCTCCAGAAAAATAACTAAGCAACAAGGAGACAGCCAACCTTTCAGATGCAGAATTCAAGACACTGGTAATCAGGATGCTCACAGAAATTATTGAGTATGGCCAAAAAACAAAGAAGTGAAGGCTATGCAAAATGAAATAAAGAAAAATATACAGGAAACCAACATTGAAGGGGAGGAAACCGGGACTCAAATCAATGATTTGGAACAAAAGGAAGAAATAAGCATTCAACCAGAACAGAATGAAGAAACAAGAATTAAAAAAAAAATGAGGAGAGGTTTAGGAATCTCTGGGACAACTCTAAACATTCCAACATTTGAATCATAGGGGTGCCAGAAGAAGAAGAAAGAGCAAGAAATTGAAAACTTGTTTCAAAAAAATAAAGAACAAAACTTCACCAATCTGTGAAGGAAATAGATGTAGAAGTCCAGGAAGCTCAAAGAGTCCCAAAGAAGTTGGACACAAGAAAGCACATACCAAGGTACATCATAATATAATGTAACTACATTACCCAAGATTAAAGACAAGAGAATCTTAAAAGCAGCAAGAGAAAAGGAGACAGTTACCTACAAAGCAGTTCCCATGACACTATCAGCTGATTTCTCAAAAGAAACTTTGAAGGTTAGAAGGGACTGGCAAGAAGTATTCAAAATAATGAAAAGCAAGGACCTACAACCTAGATTACCCTACCCAGCAAAGCTATCATTTAGAATGGAAGGGCAGATAAAGTGCCTCCCAGATAAGGTCAAGTTAAAGGAGTTCATCATCATCAACCCCTTATTATATGAAATGTTAAAGGGACTTATCTAAGAAGAAGATCAAAACTATGACTTGTAAAATGACAACAAACTCACAACTATCAAGAACTGAACCTAAAAAACAAAAACAAAAAGTAAGCAAACAACTAGAACAGGAACAGAATCACAGAAATGGAGATCACATGGAGATTTATCAGCAGGGCGGGGAGAATGGGCAAAAAAGTCCAGGTAATAAGCAACATAATTGGAAGATACAAAATAGACAGGGGGGAGTTAAGAATAGTATATGAAATGCAGAAGTCAAAGAACTTATATGTATGACCCATGGACATGAACTAAGGGTGGGAGGAATGCTGGAGGGACGCTGGCACAGGGCAGAGGACAACAAAATGGAGAGAAAAAATGGACAACTATAATAGTATAATCAATAAAATATACTTTAAAAAATAGGAGAGAAGGTAAATTACATAATATATGATATTGAGACAACTGGCTAACCACTTGAAAAAAATGAAGTTAGAGCTCTATATTAAACCACGCTTCAAAGTGAAAGAAAATTAAGTGCAAAGAAACAAAATTATGAAAAATATAGAAAACAATGTATATTAGTATTTTATAATCTTGTGGTGACACAGATCTTTCTAGGCATAAAACAAATAATAAAGAAAAAGATTGATAAAATTAGCTAGTAAAAATTTTAATCTTCTGTACTCTATGAGCTCTAATCAAAATTAAGAATAAAAACACAACACTAAGGAAAATATTTGCAATATAAATGATCTTAAGGGGCCAATGTCCTCACTACATAATCATTGTGATGAAAAGGGAGTTATAATTGTAAGGGGCAAATGCCATTAATCCACACCAATGACTGTCAAACTTTTCATCTCATGGACACAATAAACTAATTACTAGAATTGTGTGGCACAACCAAAAAATATATTTTTGCCAACCTCATAAAAAATGGGTATAATTTTGATTCATTCACATTTCACAGCTATTGTTGTTTTGGGTATTGTCATTTTTTTATCTGACAATCTAAGGGAAAAGAGATCAGTGTCCCTGACTAAATGGTCAGGTGTTACATGTTTTATTTATGTTTTTTACTCTTTTTAAAAAATATTTTATTGATTATGCTATCACAGTTGTCCCATTTCCCCCTTCACTCCCCTCCACCCTTCCCACCCCCTCCCACCCACATTCCCCCCTTTAGTTCATGTCCATGTGTCACAAGTTCTTTAGCTTCTACATTTCCCATACTATTCTTGCCCTCCCCCTATTTTCTGCCTATTGTCTATGCTACTTATTCTCTATATATTTTCCCCCTCTCTCCTCCTCCCACTTCCCTGCTCTGTTGCTAACCCTCCATGTGATCTCCATTTCTGTGGTTCTGTTCCTGTTCTGTTTGCTTAGTTTGCTTTTGTTTTAGGTATGGTTGTTACTGTGAGTTTGATTTCTCTTTTTACTGTTCATATTTTTTATTTTCTTTTTCTTACATAAGTCCCTTTAACATTTCATATAATAAGGGCTTGGTGATGATGAACTCCTTTAACTTGACCTTATACGGGGAGCACTTTATCTCCCCTTCCATTCTAAATGAAAGCTTTGCTGGATAGAGCAATCTTGGATATAGGTCCTTGCCTTTCATGACTTAGAATACTTCTTTCCAGCTCCTTCTTGCCTGCAACGTCTCTTTTGAGAAATCAGCTGACATTCTGATGGGAACTCCTTTGTAGGTAACTGTCCCCTTATCTCTTGCAGCTTCTAGAATTCTCTCCTTCATTTTTACCTTGGGTAATGTAATTATGATGTGCCTTGGCATGTTCCTCCTTGGGTCCAACCTCTTTGGGACTCTGAGCTTCCTGGACTTCCTGGAAGTCTATTTCCCTTGCCAGATTGGGGAAGTTCTCCTTCATTATTTGTTCAAATAACTTTTCCACTTGTTGTTTTTCCTCTTCCCCTTCTGGTACCCCTATAATTCAGATGTTGGAACGTTTAAAGATGTCCTGGAGGCTCCTAAGCCTCTCCTCATTTTTTTGAATTCTTGTTTCTTCATTCTTTTCTGTTTGGTTGTTCCTTTCTTCCTTCTGATCCCTTCAATTGATTTGAAACCCAGATTTCTTTCCAACAGTAATGGTTCCCTGTGTATTTTCCTTCATTTCTCTTATTGTAGCCTGCATTTGTTCATCTAATTTACGACCAAAGTCAACCAATTCTGTGAGCATCCTGATCACCAGTGTTTTGAACTGTGCATCTGATAGGTTGGCTATCTCTTGGTCGCTTATAAAAACTGGCTCTGGGGATTTTAATTCTGTTTGAGCCACCTTTTTTATTTTATTTTAATTTTTTTCTTTGATCTGGTCACACCTGTTACATATGAGGGACGGAGCCTTAGGTGTTCACCAGGGCGGGGCACCTCAGTCGCTGGGTTGTGACGTTGTATGTGGGGGCAGGGTCTGAAAGGGAACAATGGTACCTGCTCCGCTCTCTCTAGGACTTGAGTCCCCTTTGCCACTTCCCACAAGCAAATTGGGCCCTTCTGGTGCTGGCTCCCAGGTGGGTGGGCTTGTGTCCTTTCTTGGATTCTGTGGGTTTCCCCAAGGAGCCTCCTGTGAGGCTGAGAGAATTTCCCGGCCTCAACTCCCACAGGTGTTTCCAATCGGTGCCTTCAGGCTTTGTTTCCCAGTGCTGGGTCCCTGGGTTGCAAGGTCTGTGTTGCTGCCCGTTTTCGCTTAGTTTGTCCGCGTGCGAATGTATAGCTGTGGACAGCCAGCTGCCTTGTGCCCCTCACTGGGTCTGTTCGTTGCCTCCCGTGCCCAGGGTCTGCCACTGGTCCGTCAGCTGCCCCGCGCTTCTGGGGTCCACCAACTGCCGTCTGCACCCTGCACGCCCATGTCTGCCAGCTACCATGTTTTCCTACTAGAACCCCTCAACCCCTCTCCATAGGCCTCTGACTCCACCCCTCCTTACCGGTCTCAATGAATGGTAGTCATACTTCCATTCAGTTCATTTCTCTCAGTTCTGGTTGTATTTTTGTTTCTAAATTCTTGTTGCCCTTAGTTCTGGTTGCACGAGGAGGCACAGTGTGACTGCCTATGCCTCCATCTTGACCAGAAGTCCCAGGTGTTGCGTGTTTTAAAAATTCTTGGGGCACACATGTTGAAAATCATTAATCTACACTTCACAAAATGATATAATTTGGGGGATTTTGAATGATTATTACTTTCTTCTTTTTGCTTATATGCATTTCCGAGTTCTCTACCCACCCCCCCGCCAAAAATGTATTATTATTGTAGCAAAAAAATCTCATAATGGGGAGCAGAAATAAAATTTTTAAGGCTACGTAAGCTTCTATAAATCTCCTTCACCAGCTCCAAACTCCCAGAATGAATAGGCATGCGAGGTTACCAACAGCTCCCTATCCAGGGCCAGAAAATGTACCTTTTTAATTTCCTTGAATCCTCCAAAAACCTCAAATTGGAAGTTGTTATTATCCTAATATTACAAACAATAAAGTAAAGGCTCAGAGAAGTTCCCCAAGCTTCCCAAGATCACACAGCAGTAAGCAGTAGAGTGAGAACTGCATCCCAGGTTGACCTGACTACAAACATTGTTTTTTCCAGGCCTCATTTCAGGAATCTTGGTTTGGGATGCAGAAGGCCTGAGTTCTGATGCTGGCTCTGTTCCTAACTACACATGGCCTTGGCAAGTTTCTTCCCTGTCTGACCCTCAGTTTTATCAGCTTTACAATGAGAAGTGGAGTGGCTCAAATGATAAGTTCCTTCCTGCTCAAACATACCAGGTTTCTGTTCTCATAAAGCACTCAGTAATAACCAATGGCCAAACCAGTGGCCTGGGAGCTAGAGCAAGGTAGCCACGCACAGATGCCCCATGCACTGGTTCACCTTAAATTCCTCATGAATGCGCTCCTCCAGGACTTTGGCAGCCTTCCGGTCCTCCATCTCCACTTTCCACCTCTCTGCCAGGATTCGGGCTTTCTCATTGGCCAGAGCATCCCGGAACTTGTTGGTGATCTCTGCCTCCTTCTGTCTCCTTCCAAGAGAACACCAATAGGTATAAGCTCATATGGAAACTGAAGGTCTACATAACAGAAGTTCAAATAAAAACTATGGCACTACTTCTTTTTTTAATATTAGTTTCAGGGGTACACCCCAATGATAAGACATTACATAACTTACTAAGTGATCATCCCAATAAATCTCACACCCATGTGATACCACACATAATTATTTGAATATTATTGACTATGTTCCCTATGATGTACTTTACATCCCCATGACTTTACTCTAACAACCAATTTTTACTTCTTAATCCCTTCACCTTGGGCAGTATTGGACTCTATTAGAATGACAAATGTCTAGAGTCAACAAAGCTTGATGTTGGCAAAAGCAGGGAGAAATAGGCACTCTCTTGTGTAGGGGTATAAATCAGCAGAATTGTTCTGGAAGCGGGGGGGGGCGGGGAATAATCCAAAATACCATCTCCCACTCAAGTTTACAAAGTCAGGTAAAAGATGTTCATCAGAGGATTTTTATAAGGTAAAGAATGACAAGTGACATAAATGTCCATCAACAGGACCAGTACATTAGGTTTCCCATGTAATGAGAACACTGTACAGTAATTTTTTAAGATTTTATTTATTTTTTAGAGAGATGGGAAGGGAGGGAGGAAAATAGGGAGAGAAATATTAATGCACAAGAGAAATATTGATAAGTTACCACTCTTGCAGGCCCCCAACCGGGGACCTGGCCCACAACCAAGGCATGTGCCCTGACTGTGAATTGAACCCATGACCTTTCGGTTTGTGGGATGATCCACAACCCACTAAGCTACATCAGTCAGGGCAGTAATCTTAAATAATGTTATTAATCTATATTAATCAATTTACCATAGTGTAAATAAAGCAGTTTACAAAACATGTACTGACAGTCCCTGACTTATGATAGTTTGACTTATGATTTTTCAGCTTTACAATGGTGTGAAAGTAATATACAAAGAGGAGAAATTGTACCTTGAATTTTGAATTTTGCTCTTTTCCCAGGCTATTCATATACTATAAGAGAGTCTCTTGTGAGTCTAGGCAGTGACAGAGAGCCACAGCTCCCACACCAAGAGGATAAACAACCCATACTCTACAGTGTCATCATCGTGCTAGATGATTTCGCCCAGCTGTGTGCTAATGTAAGTGTTCTGAGCACATTTAAGGCAAGCTAGGTGAGGCTGTGATGTTCAGTAGATTAGGTATAGTGCATGTGTTTTCAACGTATGACATTTTCAGTTTACTATGAGTGTATCAGGACATAACCCCATCATAAATCAAGGAATATCTGTATTGCCTAAATGCTCACTGTGGTTATCATATGTGGCAGGTGTTGGATTGTTACTAACAATTTTACAGTTAAAACTCTGTCACTAAAAATTGGAGTGAGGGGAAATGTTAGCATTCAAGCTTAGTGAAAAGATGCCAAAAGTCATTTATGAAATAAATGTGACTCCAAATCTCACGGGGGGCTCAAATGTCCATGAAAGAGAAACAAGTGCATATACAAAAGTGAGTCCAAACTGCTCTACTGTCCCAGTGAGATAAAAAAAGCAAAAGCAGGCATATGCATCATATTGATGAATCTGAACCACATCCAAATAGAAAGTATTATTATACCCACACCACAGATGTGAAAACCAAGCCCCCAGTTAGCTCATTTCTATTTGGTGGATCCAAGATTTGAACCCACAAGGTCTATCTGATGCAAGACTTTGATGATTTGGTCACCTAATCTTAGCAGAGCTCAAAACAGGCAGCCAGCTGCCTGGTACCTCCTCCCCTCTACCCACAACCTATCACCCTTATCTGGAACCCACCCCAAGGCTCTGAGTTCAGGCCCCACCCAACACCCATTGGCACCTCTCACCAGAGTTCCTCAGCCTCCCTCTGAGCCTGCAGCCGTGCCCTCTCTGCAATCAGCTCCTCAGAGATCTCTTCATAGGGCTTGTCACCAGGGCCTTCTCCCATGATCCAGACCCAGACCTCGCCATCTGCCCCCAGGAGCCATTGGATGTGCTTGTCACTTGCTGCTTCACGACATAAGGAGGAACAAGAAAGGAAAAAGAAACAGGTCTGAGTTCTAATTGGCTGATGGTACACAACCACTCTGCATCCACTTTGTCATCAACAAAGAGGATCCCAGAGAGATTTTGGCCTACGTGTAGGTCCATAGCTGTCTTACCCTCCCACTCCCTATAGGGAGCAACAGAGCAGCCAAGTCAGCCTGCAAACGCAGGTGTCCAAATCTAGAACTGGTGTCTGAGACCAAGTGCCCCTGATATCTTTAGCAGAGAGTGCAGCACTCTCTGAAGAAAATGATTTGTGTCTCTCTTGGACCAAGGCAGTTAGGAGCCAGTGAGCCTTCTTTTCTCTCCTCTTTCCTCCCCCCTCTTTTCTTCCTCTCCAGCTCCCACCCCTCCTGTCTACTTGCTAAAAATAAGGAATTGGAGATCATGGAGTTGCAAGATGAAGTAGCTAGGCCCCTGAGTCTCCAACCAACAACCACCTGTAACATGAGCAGGAACTATACCTGTGTTGTATTAAGCCACTGAGATTTTTCAGTTTTCCTATTTCAATAGATCCTGTTGATTACCATGACTAAAATGGAAATCTATCCCAAAAGTGGGGTAGTGCTGAAACAAAGACATACACTGTCAGTCACTGCCTTAGCAGTTGGGTGTTGAGTGATGTTTAGTAGGCTAAATTGCTGGAGATCTGTGTTACGTAGGAGGAAAACTTTTGGTAAAATTTTCAGACACTATAAAAGGCAGATCCTCATGCCCTCTTAATCTGTCACTCTAAGAGAGTGTAAAATAGAACATTGGTAGTGTGTGTTGGCTGCTAGTGATTGTGTTTGGCAAGGTGTTTGGAGAAAGAAATTAGTTCAAGAAAGAATTAAGTGTTTTGCAAGGAGAAATGAAAGGAAATAGAAAGAATACAGAAATGTGGGACTTTGTAAGATTTGGAAAACCACCTCCTTCTAGGGCCCAAATTGCAGGAGATAGGATTTTTAAAGGTTCTGCAAAACAAAGCCCCATAGACTTGTAAGGGGAGTTAAGTGACCTGGGTACAGAGCACTGTGGCTTCCATGAGAATGTGCTCCAGATATCCAGCTACAGGGAGCATAATTGACGAAGCATTCCAGTTCCTATGCTCTTGTGTTTGCCCAAGGCCATGCTTCACAGATGCAGCTTTGACTGAGCATGGCAGGCTCATTCCTGGGAGACACCAGACTCTTCTGACGGGCAACTTCCCTGAGGCCTTGACAAACCTTCCTTGGATTGCATGTCTGCCTAGAACACCTCCATCCAACCTGACAGTTCTGGTCCCCATCACTCAAAGTCAGACTTGCACTGCAATGCGATGGCTCTCCCCACCTCCTATAGCACCCTGTCCTTTCTCATCTCACAGGCACTTCCTTAGTAAAACCCTTGTGTGTTTAATCTCATCCTTATCTCTGCTCTACAGAGGAGCCAGGCTAACACAAGCACATTAAGAGTGCAATCTCTCACACTTATTTTTACAAAGAGCCTAAGGCAGGTACTCTTCAGTTGAAAGGGAGAGGCATAGAGGTAAAGAGGAAAAGAGGTATAGACAATTTGTGAAACATGTCTAGAAATAAACTGTAGATGTTGTACTGGAACATTGAGGCAAACAGATCAGAAGCTTCCTAATTTTTTGAGTCTGAACTTAAAAGCCTTTGATTGTTCAGGACTTAAACACCACTTTCAATGGCCAGGAGGCTGGTTTCAAAGACTATGCTGGTACAACAAGAGCATGATCCTCAACACTCACTTCAGATGAGGCCAAGGGGAATAAAGAGCAAGGAGGAGCCTCCTCAAGGGTGCAGTCAGCATCCACTTAAGGCTGTCCTTTCACTGCCAGAGCAGGAGAACTTCATAGAATCTGACCTATAGGACTTCTGGAATGCCACAGACAAGCAACTGAGCGGGGCTCACATTCTCCCTTCTCCACAATGAATATTGTGACCCTACTTTACCACTGTACATTGTGTCTTAAATATGGGGGAGGAGAGTGTTTAAGTGACATGTCTTAGTCACATCTAGACCTTATATAGATGAATACAGAACCTTTGCAGACTTGGGGCTAGGTGCAATGACTGGATGTGACTTCAGGGTGCCAACCTGAAGGAGTGAATGTATTTACATGGAGGAAAAGAAAAAAATGTGTCAGTGACCACAATGACAATTTGTAAGTGACTTGCTATGTCCAGAACCCCATTTCCTCTTCCTGAACTCAGTAGATAACTACTTTTCTGGGCTTCCCTTCAGTTCCATGGGGCCATGGGACTGAGTTTTAGTCTGTGGAATGTCAGGGGAAGTGATTTGTGCCACTTTCAGGCTGAAGCTGTTTGCAGTTGGTGTGCCTTGGCCACATTCTGTTGTTCATCCACCCAGCTGGAAATAAATTACTCCAAGATGGTGAAATTGCAAGAAGAAAGTAAAGCAAATCACAGAGAAGAGATACCCAATCCACCTTAAACTGCGATATATTCAGAAATAGACCTCCATTGTATTAACCCATTAAAACATCATGGGTTAATCAGTTGCAGAAGGCAGCATTAATTCCCTTGACTAATATAGAAGAACATTGTTATTTTTACATGTTAAAAGCAACATAGTAATAGAGGAACGCTGGTTTAATTATGACTGATAGGAACAGGAAGAAAACCACTACTAGAATTATAAAACTTCCATATTAATAGTGGGAGAAAGTAAATTAGAGGCTTACCAATTCTGCGAAACTAGGTAAAAGGAAAAAAGAAAACAAAAATGTGTAGCTATTATAGCAGGCACTGTCAATTACCTACCTGCCATCCATTCCAGCCCACCTCCCTCCCTTATAGGAAACCCCAGTTTTTTCAGGGAGTAACAGAGAACCCTCAGTTTCAGGAGAGGCAAGTTTCTATCCCAACCTCAAAAGACAAATCACATTGGTCTAAACCTGTCATGGAATCTGATTCTTATTGGCAAATGATTGATCTATAAGTGATCAGATATCTGTTTTTGACAAAGTAGATGTAGAAAGAAGTTCCAGTGAAAGGGTTTCTTTCTCCAAACAAAATGTAAAGACTCCTTAGGAGAAACCCCTTCACCTTTGCTCTTTTATCTCACCTCTGTCTTCCTCCCTGTAATGTGGAAGTGATGCCCAGAGTTGCTGAAAGACTTTGCAACCAGGAGGAAGAAAGCCACAAACTAAGGATGAGTAAGCAGGAAGATAGAAGGAGATGGCCACTGATGATCTTGTTGAGCAGATAAATCAATACTATCCATTGGTGTTCATTACCAGCCATCTGGCAGCTCATCTCCAGATTTCTTGTCATTTGAGAAAAATAAAGAATATCAAAGAATAAAGTTCTATAATTATTAAAATATAATATAAATATGAAAGTTTTATGTTATTAAACAACTGTTATGTATTGTTATTTATAGTCAACCACATCCCTAACTGAAACAGATAACAAACACAAAATAACACAGAAGCCCTAAACTGAAAGTATACTTATTGGTGGCAGGAAGATGGCGGCGTTGTATGAGGGAGTGTATTCCCCTTCCCCTATGCATGGGAAAGAAACTGGCTGATCTGTGGAGGAACAGAGCAAGGGGCCAACAATATCGCAACATTTATGAAAACAGGACATCAAAAATTATAGCAGACATTGAAAAACCAGACAGTAAGGAGACTGCTTCAGGATAATAAGGGCCCAGGGATCAGTGTGGGAACCAGGGAGGTTGCAGACCCCAGGCCCAGTGCTCCCCGGTCTGCCTCACGGCACCCGGGAGAGCAGAGTCACTGCTCCCTCCTGAGACAAGGATTGAGCAGCCCCGGGGGAGGCCTTGGTGCTTGAAGGCACAGAGAGGGAAGTGAGACTGAGAGACAATCACACAGGGGCTGCAAGCACCCACACATATCCCTGAGAAGAGTGAATGCCCCAGCCTGCAGGACCAAGGGTGGCCTAGCCATGCGCCCATGCCCCCAACCAAGTGCGAGTGTGGTTCTGTGGAAGACCCAGACCCCACAGGCCTGAACAAGAAAAGAGCATGGGCATTCACGGGTTTCTGGAGCCTGCGGTGGTGAACTCGGGGAAGCACACGCCCCTTGGGGATTCCCAACTCTCACACAGTGAACCCGAAAAAGATGAGGGCGCTTCATGAGTTCCTGGGGCCCGCAGGGGGAAAACTGGGGGAAGGGCACAACCCCTCGTGATTCCCGGAGCTAACACCATGAACCCAGAAAAGATGCGGGTGCTTCGCAAGAACATAGAGCTTGTGGAGGTGAAATTGGGGGAAGGGCATGACCCCTTTCGATCCCCAGAGCTTACATTGTGAACCGGGAAAGGCACAGGCACACTTCAGGGCCTGGCGCCCAGGAAACCGCGGCAGTGAGCTCCAGAGGGCAGTGAGCTCCAGAGAGTGTGCTTGGGAGCACCCACACCCACACCCAGGGCCCTACAGGAAGGCATCAGATCAGCTCTGGGGAGAGCTCAGGGCTAGCCCTGGGGACAGTATGTGAGAGACTGACTGAGTTCTGACTGCAAAGAGTAAAAAGCATTCCAATCACCCCTCAGCCTGCTGAAGCCAGCAAGACCAGAAAAACTGGTTTGGCCAGTTAAAAACCAACAAGAGAGCTTTTTTTTTTTTTTGGCTGTTGTTGTTTGATTGTCTGATTTTATCTTGTTTTTTAAGTAACTTTTTATTTTTTTAATTTTTATTATTTTTATATCTCTCAATTCCTTATGTTTCTCTTCTTTCATCCTAGTGTTATAACTTCCACTCCAAATTTATCTCTCCTGCATTCCATCTTCTGATTTTTTTCCTTTTTTTTTTCTGAGCCTGCAAGTTACTGCAAATTTGTATTATCTTTTTCTCATTTTTCTGACATTTTTTATTTTAATAGTATTTTGGTATTCTTTTTCTTTCTGTATAATCTTCTTTGCTTGGCTGGTTATACTGTTGTTTGATAGGTTTCCCCTGTTATTTCATTCACACTGCGTTGCTAATTTACTATC